AAGCTCTACCCTTCCCAGATCGACCAAGAATCGGGTCTCTAGTCCCACACCTCCCGTCCCCTCCACTCAAAAATCAGGTATGAATTGGTGTATAGTTTTGAAAAAACTTTTTTTGTGTAAATTATTTGCGACTTATATACAGTATATTATGTATAAGGGTGAATAGTGTTAGGGTGAAATGATTTTTTATGTTATTATATTTTTGCTTATTTTTTCTAATCCCATTCCCAAATATTTTTAATACCGAACCCTTTCGAGGGGTGGGTTTTTGACAATTTGTTGATTTTGTTTTGAGGGTAGAGTGCAATTTCACACCCCTTTTGCACATAACTCTGGGAATTATATATTTACCAAGTATTCATATATAATCCTAATTATAATTTGTTTATACATCTAATCGCATAATTAACATAAGTTTCTAATTATAAACTTTTTTAAAATTATATCCTAAAATCAATGCAAGTATTTAGTGCCCAAAAGCATAGTTATTAATATATTTTAGTTACATAATAGTGTTAGGTTTATATCCGATTAGATATGCTATTGTTATACTGTGGGCAACAAATATGTGGGACATTGAAGTGTTTGCGCAAAAATATTATAATCCACATATTAATTGAGGGGTAATCACAGGTGGAGTAAAATAGGCAATAGTTTTTTTTGCTATAAAATATAAAAATCACATATATTTTTATATAAAATATTAGTTAATTATGTAATTCAAAGCCCTTTGGCTTATGTTTAACATTATAGAGATATATTAAATATTTTTTATTAAAAAAGCTCTAAAAATATATTGTTATTCCGTTCCTCCCCACCCCTCAGACATGTATGACCTCTAACACATACCGACCCCTCTCCCTTACAGTATTATATAACTTATTATATAATATAAGTAAATGAATTAATATTACAAAAGGTTATTAATTATGTAAAATATAATTTATAGATATTTTTGTGCTTATTTTGAGGTAAAGTTGCTTTTTTGTAGGTTTGATAAAAACTTTTTTATTAACGCTTTGTTCATACAAATTATGATTTTGTTTTACTTATTTTGTGGCCAAAACGTTAATTTTGTTAATTTTTATATACTTAACTTATATATACTTATATATTATAACTTATAAGTTAATATCATATTTTTGCTATATCATATTCAACCTACCTGTCCCTTATTTTGTAGACACTTATAGCGTAAGATATAGTTTTATGATTCAAATACAATAAGCTATTGAAGAGTGAGTTTTCAATTCAAGCAAAATTTGTGATACATTTGATATTAATAGCAACTTTTCGTGTGATAAATAGACATTTGAATGAAATTTTTATGTTTTAAGATCTCATGTCCGATATAATGGTATAAAATATGTTTTATGCGAGAAATATTTGGTTCAAAAACTAAAAATATTTAAGAAAACGCTTTAAAAAAGTTAATAAATAATTTGCTTAATAGTATAGTTTACTCTTAAAAACTATTTTACTTTTTTGCTAATATTAATAATAACATGTATTTCCCAAAGAAATATATTATATTAAACTAAATGCTCATTTCATGAGGCGTTTTATTGCATACAATCATAATTTATAATAACTTTTTCAAAAACTTTTAAAGACTTAGACATCCATTCAATATAGCATTCATTGTATGCAAACATTACATAAAACATTTTAATCCTCGACTAAGGGGTACCAGAAAAAAGTAATAATAATTTTCAGATCCGTTTATAATATTTAACTTTAAGGCTATTTGTATGCATTTATTTTCAGCTCAAAACTCGTATTTATTTTTAAATTATAACTTCAGTTAATAATAACATGGATTAGAAGTGCATTTATTATTAGTTTTTGTTTATTTATGCAAATCCTTTTCACATTCATTCATAAGTTTTTTGTAAATGGGATTGTGTTTAATAGTTATAGGTATTCATACAAACATACAGGTGCGCAGGGATGGGGTTCATAATTAATAATCACTGGCAGGTGTATGGTATGCGAGTGGCTATTTTTGATTTTATTGTATATTTTTATGAGGTATACGACTACTTATGAATTATATTTTTTAGTATTTAAGAGATTATACAAATAAAACATTGAAATAGCAGGTAAACCCTCCTTTCATGTACACTACCTCTCAAACCATTTGAAATAACTTTAATATCGCATAAGAATCGCTTGAATCCCATATTCTGACCCTATTTTTGAAGTTTTATTTTTCACTTCAATCTATATTTTCTATTCAATTTCTAATCTAATTGAAAATATTAAGTATTTTCAAATCCTATCAAATTTTACAAAACACAATCAGTTTCAAAAGTTTTTAAGTCTCATATAAAATAGCAAAAATCAATAGTTCATTATTTATTATAACAAAAATCTTTTATAAATCAAACAATTTATTATCAAAATTACTTTATTATTAATCCTCTTATAAATTATACACATGAGTGGACTATATAAACTCGGTTATAATGAACAAAAAATACATAGCCTACTAATATATTAATAATATAACTTTTGTGTGGTATAATTTGTTACTATTATCTAATATAGTATCATAAAAATAAATTCTACACGACTTATCAGGGCAATGTCTGGGGTACACTATACAGGTTTAAAGACAATGTATATAAAGTTTATTTGAAAGTCTGAGAGTTATGTATAGACTTCTATTCAGGCTCACGTATGAGATAATAGGCCTGAAAAAGACTTTTTATCAGCTTTTTGTCAATTCATCTCTAAATTTGTTGAATAACTTCACGAATATAATAGACTTGTTATCAGAAACGGAGGAAAATTGTCAAACACTTGGAGATAATCGCGAGAATAGGCTATAAAAACAGTCTCACACACCGGGAGTTGAACGACATGCCTGTCCCTCTCATACGTAACAATACCAGAGATCTAATTATCCGATTATTTATAGCCAATGATTATGTGATTTTATAAGGGAATGGTATGATTTATAGACTCATATATATTGTTATAACTATTTTCAGGTGCTTTGGTTCGCATCCAATCTAACGGTGCGGTCGAGCGCGTGAATGGCCATAAAGACTCCGCGGCCACCACACGACCTACCAGTCCCCCAGTGATGGAGGAGCGTAATCGCCACCACCAGCCATACCAGTCAACAGCCAATGGCCATAAGCCCAATGAGACCGCGACCTCAATGTCTGGTAGAAGTAGTTCACGTGCCTCCTGTGCCACACCTGTCAGTGCTCACAGCGCCAGTAGTCGCTGCGCTACACCTGTTAAGAGCTACAGATCCACAACACCTGCGCCGGTAGCCAATGGCGTCGACACCACCGCCAGAAACACAGTAATCGTCGACAGAAACAGTAGTGCAACGACTGGCGATCCGATGGCGAAGTCCAAGACATCGATGACCACATCCACTGATAATAAGTCCGTCATTGAGTCGGATCTTAACGCTGCTGTGAATTCTGTGTCCAAACAAAACGGACACCAAATGCGAGCATCTGTTATACAAAAGCCTCCGTCGCCGGCACCGGTAGCCGTGAAACCGGACGCCAGTGTCGACCAGACAAGTGACTCCAACTCCAGTACTCTGACACGTCGGGGACGGCTCACCACCGAAGACCTGCTGATTATCATTCATAACTCGAAGAAGAAGCACAACATTAAGACGGAACCGGAGATAATCGTCAACAGCCCGCCCTCCAGCCGTTCCCACTCATCCAACAGCAACAGCCCGCCCTCGGCCTACCAGCCCGTGATTCAGCGAACGTCCGGCCGTTCACTAACCCCTAGTCGTGTACCGCAATCGCCGGTCAGCACCAGCCCTCCCGACCGGCGCTCGTGGAACGGCTCGGAAACGGGCAGTCCGTCCGTCACACAGGCGGGTGAGCGCCGATCCCTGGCCTCCGACCGCATGGGACCCACAAAACCGACGACTATGACTGACTTCAAGCGCCTCCTATCGCAGACCCGGTCCCAGACGTTCAACTCGGACCGACTGTCCGCTCAGGAGATACTTCGGGCCAACTCTAAGCGACCGCTCACTCCTGTCATCAAATGTATCACCAGTTTTGTGGGCGGCGGCAATAAAACACGAGTCACACCATCGCCAGCACCTACACCCACGTCCTTACTGACCCCCAACAAGCCGTCCCGTATGTCGCCGGCGCCCTCGCCCGGCCCACCGCCGCAGATAATGAACGGTGCAATCAATGCCAATACGCCTAATCTGGTCAAACCGCGTATCATTAACGGTCGTACCGGTGCTCACCATAGGCACCATCACCACAACCTACCCGCCTATCGTATGGTTGA